TCTAGTTTCAAAGGTTGGGGCTGCTTTAGTTGATCCGCGTTTGGGAAGCTATCTAGGAGGTCTTCAGTTTGGTGTTGGGGTGTCGGCGAGTGATGAGGCTATTCTTCATGCTGTTAATCGTTTGATTGAGGCGTGTGGTGGTGATGTTGGTCTCTCTATGTTGTTGGTGGATTTTAAGAATGCTTTTAACTTGGTAGACCGTTCGGCTATGTTGTGTGAGGTTCGTCTCCGTTTCCCAGCTCTCTCGCGATGGGTTAAATTCTGTTATCCTACTCCAGCCAAGCTGTTTTACGGGGAGCATACCTATGGTCATGTCAGGGAGTGCAACAGGGTGATCCTCTAGGCCCTTTGCTTTTTTGCTTTGGTTCTTCATCCGTTAGTGTGCCAAATCAAGGATTCTTTTGACTTATGTTTGCAAGATTGGTATTTAGATGATGGGACTATTATTGGTGACACATTAGCGGTAGGAAAGGTTTTGGAGTTGATTTTAGCGGAGGGACCTCGTCTTGGACTCCATGTAAACGTAGAGAAAACGGAAGTATTTTGGCCCTCAGAGGACCCTCGTAGCCGTCTTGTCGATGTCTTTCCACTGGATATTGGTCTTCCGGTGCATGGTGTTAAGTTACTGGGTGGTCCTGTCAGTGCTGATTCCTCTTTCTGTGGTGAGCTTGCTTCATAGAGAGTGTCGAAGACCATTGTGCTAATGGATGCTGTTGCTAAGCTCGATGATCCCCAATGTGAGTTGTTGCTTCTTCATGCGTGTATTGGGGTTTCCAAACTCTACTTTGCTATGCGCACTTGTCCTCTAAGTCTTTTTGAAATAGCGCAAGTTTCTTTTAACATGGCCCTTCGGGTTTCTTTGGAGCGCATTGTAACAGCTTCAGGGCCTAGTTTTGGTGATTGGCAATGGCGACTTGCCACCTGACCTTTTTCTTATGGTGGTTTGGGTGTCTATTCGGCGGGTGATGTTCGACATTATGTTTTCCTAGCATCGCGTCTGTAGTCTTATCGTCTTCAGGCTACGCTTCTTCGCAATTCTGATATTGTTGGTCCGGGACCGGCCTTCGATGGTGCTCTTAGACTTTTTAACAGAGCTGTGGAGACTGACCTTATGAGTAACCCTAGTGAGATCGCTGCCTCCAGACTCATGAAAAAGTTGGCAGATATATATTTTACGAAGGTAACTGCATCTGCGGATTCCACTTTCTCCTTAACTCCGCGTCAGGTAGCCTTATATAAGTCCCAGCAGGGGGATCACTCTTCATCCTAGTGGGCGGTCCTGATATCGGGTTTGGGTCAGACTATGAACGATAAGACTTACCGTAGTGTTCTTTGCTACCGGTTGGGTGTTCCTTTGTTCTCCGTTTCAACACCGTGTTAAGCTTGCTCAAGGGTTTTTGACGGGGATATTTATGGGGATCATGCAGTTTCTTGTGCTGGGATGGTGGGTATTAAACATCGGCACAACGTTAGTCGTGACACCCTTGTTGATATTTGTTTTCGGTCTGGGATTTTTGCTCGAAAGGAGGTTAACGTTGGGTTGACTGGAGGGAACGACGGGGCTCTTCGACCAGCAGATGTGTTGCTTTATTCTTGGGATAGAGGCCTTGATGTATGTGTTGACTTGACGGGTCTTCACCTTTAACGCAATCGGGGTTGGCTGACTTCGTTCCTGGTCGTGTTGTGTCGGCGGCGGCTCAGCGGAAGCGTGACAAGTATGGGGCGCATTGCAGGGCTATTGGCTATGGTTTTCTTCCTTTCTCCTTTTCTTCCTTGGGGGAATTAAACAAGGATGCTATTGCGTTGCTGAAGCGGGTTCAGGCGTTTGCTAAGACTCGGGATATTGGTGCTCATACGGCTGCTCACATCTTCAGCAGGATCGGGTTCGCAATAGCTAGAGGGGTGGGGGCCAAAATTGTATCTCGGCTCCCCACCAATTTGTTGTAAATTGATTGACTTTACAGGTTTTTTTTATAATAATAATAATTGTTTGTCCACATTTCATTCAAAATCTCTTTTAAAGTTGCATAATCATTATACTTAAACCTTCTTCTAGAGGCCGTGGATAATAGAAATTGATGATCATTATTTGATCAAATCTTCCTTAATAATTATATGGCAACGCATGATATAATTAATGTTGTTTTTTTCAATATTGTATGAAATAATAATAATATAACACATGTAATTATACGCATTGATCATGGTTCTTCTGAACCATAAGATAACAGTCTCACGCATAAGCACCCCGTTGATATTCTTTAGATGTTTCATAAATGATACTATAATTCTCATGCAAATACAATAGTAATTCTTGATCTCACTAATTCTCATATGCTCAAACTTCAGGTTGAGATGTCAATAATATAGTCACATAGACCAAAAGTTTGATATAGTTACAATATTCAAAATATAAAATTTGTAGGGCTAGATATATAAATAAGTCGTACTTAAGTTCCTCAGAAACTCTTCTAACATGATTCATAAGATGCTATAAAATCGACGTAATCAATAATTTCATCACATTTATAAGCCCATTGGAATATAAATACCACTTTCTAATTTTCTATCAAAGTTGTAATATGCCTTGTTATACTTTGAAAGAACATTCACATACACCACAATTATTGTATAGAAACTAATGCATGCAATATGAGATATAGAATACATGATAACATATTAAACAAAATATACAATGAATTACCTATGACTCACACATGCATATTAATATACATAGAATTCGAAATAATGCAAAACACTGTACAAGGTAGATTTTAAAAATTCATAATTCATTGGACTTCTGGTCCATGATAAATTTTTGATCATTATTATTATGTTGACATCAAAATGGACGTATATATCTCAGATCCCTTATTCACTAGTCCATTCTATCATGCACAAGCGTATTATTTATCGGTTCTATATTATACATGCATTATAAAATTCAGTAAGATATAATTTCGCATGAGAAATTACTATGATATCTGAATACATCTCCAATTGGTATCATTATAACTTTCTTACATCATAGGACATTTATTGTAATAATTTAGATATCTATACCACTTTTGGGGTACTTCATACACTATGATATTTATATAATATCACACTATTAAAAGTGTTAAGTGCACTATCTTGCCACATATCATATCTTTATTTTAAACTTATCTTTATTTTGGAACTGATCATACGACCCACACTTCAGGTGTAGTAATTCAAGTATAACTGACAAGATTTTATCTCAATGTATACACATAATATAACCAAAATATATCTTCAACTCTATTCATCATGAGTCATAACTGAATACAAATCAAATCATAAATGTGCAACATATCTTGATAATATATAGACAAAATTTGGTTAATAACTTTTCAAATTATCATTATAGGGATCATCATTTTTTTTTTTCGATTTTCCAACTTTTACCGATTCTTCTCCCCTTAAGTTGGTGAAATATCTCATTTATAAGGGGCATCTAATTCTATACAACCTTAGTATATAAATTTTCATTATTCATTTCAAATTTATCTCTTAGAAGACTAGTTGTGGCACCGCGTGCTACGCACGCGGACAACAACTTGGTTAGTATATATCTAAATATTGTTAAATAGATTTTTTATCAATTGACGTTTGGTAGGTTTAAGAACTATACAAATATTTAAAAAATACAAAAAAAGTTGGAAGGAAAAAAAGTATAGATGTACAAACTGAATATATTATTTTATTTTACAATACAATTACAATACTACATAAGTACAGCTTGTAACAGAATAAATATTTAAATTTCGTAAAATCTATAATATATATATGTGTATATATATATATATGTGTGTATATATATATATATATATATATATATATATATATATATATATGTGTGTGTGTGTGTATATATATATATATATATGTATGTATATACATACACACTAATCTAAATATATTATACATAATATAAACTCTATATATATGTATGTATGTATACACACATACACACACACACATTTGTTATTAAAGATAAATACATGTATAAATATAATTTAAAGCTTAAGTTTATTAAAATTTGTTGTAAAAGTTGTTTATGATTGTGTTCTTCTAATTTCAATTGATAGTAGTTATAGTCGCCAACATCTATATTATAAGTTTGTTGAAGAAAGTTGAGTGCTTGTCTAGCAGCGTTTTGTTGTGATGGACCAATTCAAGTAGCTGGTGTCCCAATAAATCGTACAGGACATGGGACATTAGGAATACCATTTATATCTATATAAGCTTTTACTTCATTGTTGGTGACAACATAAATACCGAATTCTACTTTAGGTAATCCCAGCTGAAGTAGTATATCGTGTAGAATTATTTTGATATTTGTTTCCAAGACTCTCCGTGGTTCATCCATTATATGATGGTTAAGAACTAAGTATTTTAATGTGAGCTAATGAAATTTTTACGTATGAAGTGAATTTGCAGTAGTTATTGTTTTAAGAGAAAATCTAAGTTTCTATTTCTATTTATAGGCATACTTTAAAAATCTTGTAATGATCTTTTATTACGTATTGAGTTTCAAACATGCGTGTCAAAACTAAAAATGTTTTATAGTACACATGTGAGACATGTATTATGTTTTATGCATGTTGCACAAGTGTCTATAATGTAAATTGTACAATTTACATGTGTGTGTGTGGGGTATCCGTGTGTATTCATTTCTAATTTATTATTTTAATCCTATGTGCTTAGAATATGTTATATTAATTCTATATATTTGATATTCCAATAAATTGTACAGGATTTATTATACTGTAGAGTAAAACATTAAAATATGGTAAATACGTAAAACAAATGTTTATTTAGTGCGAATCTACATATAGAAGTACATATGTATTCAAACAAACATTATTTATTATACATTTAAAAGTTGAAATTGTCTAAGGAAACAAAGTTTGTACTGAAAGCGTGAAATTATATACATATATATATTATAAACACGTTTGGAAATTATTCTACATCTAAGCTTCAATGATGCGCTTAGCTTTCCAGCGGAGCTGCTGAAATCCTTCTCCCAACATGTACGTCGTCATCTCTATGGTAAGCTCCCTGTCCTTAAAAGCTGTTATACAACTGTCTACAAGAGATCTTTGTTCCTATAATTGTGTATAAAATGATTAATGATTCTTGTGAGTTTGTTTATAGTTTTGAATGTAATATTAGTTAAAGCATACATACTTGTAGTGTGAGCGTAGCCATATGATTAGCATCATCATTTATCAGTTGTTCAGCAAGATGACCAAAAAGTGTGATTGGTATATCACCACTGTCGTCAGCAAAAGTAATATGCAGCACAGTTCTACAACGTGTATAATTACGCATGATTAAATATTTAATAGGATAAAGAAAAGTAGTGATTGTATGCTATGTTATTAGTAGTGGTATATCAATTACCGTGGTTTGGATGTTCCTACGTGCGGAGAGCTAAAAGCACGACAATTGAACACTAACCCTCTTTCAGTTTCACATCGTTTGCTGCAGACATTACATGCATTGTATACAATACTGTTTTTGTTTGTAATGTCAGTGACTCGTCCGATGATCCGTACTGTTTTTCCAGACTTATACCAAAACAAATGCAGATGTAATTATACAAGACATTACGCTGTTCAGTTTAATTTGTGTAATATGTAATTTACCTCTTGCTCAGGTAATTGTGAAATTGGAATTATTAATTCAGGCTGTTGAGAACATTCTGTTGTTCTTGTAACGAGTGAATTTTGAAGGATTCGAATTTGGTCCTTGTTGTTCACCGTCCTGTAAATCAACAGTGTAAGTTAAGTAATAATTAATACACAAATGGAATTATATTTGAAATTTGGTTTACCAATCTCGGAGAAGTTGTGCTTCTAGAGTAGTTGGGTTAATTTTCAGTGAGGAAGCAAAGGTCGTGTTGAATGAACCCTCTGTAAACATATATGGCTCAGGTAGTTAGTGAAAGTGTACTTATTATGTTATAATTATTAGTTTATATCATATACCGTCAAAAGTTGATGCTTTGACGCGAGAAACTTCTATAACAGGCATCGTATCTATAATATCATCAACATTGGCAGCTTCGTTGTGAACCAAAGTAGTCCATGCTGATAGCGTAACAGGTTTCATGCTACAAAAAGTAGAAGAAGTTAAATGTTCCACAAGAATAGTAATAATTAAGTTAAAGTACTATTGTATTGAAAAAGCATTTTACATTGTTGTAATATATATACACGTACTTGGAATCTATGATCTTAATCCTACGCACTTCATTAGGCAGTCCGGAAGTCTTGGAGCGAATAGTTTCTACATCGTATATGTGAATAGCAATCCCAATAATATCTAAGGAAAAAATACAAAGAACTTAGTTGTATATGTCAATTAATTCATGTGTATTTACGATGCACCTAAAGTAATTATAATATCTGAATGGGTATTAAGTAATATTTACCTATTCGATTAGATGTGCCGACGAAATCCAGAGCCCGATTAAGTAGAACAAGCAATGAGCTTGGTTCAGGTCTTTGTCGTGTATCAGAAATTCTTGTTGCAGAATTGATCGTCATCTGATATAGCTGATTGTCTCTAACATACATGTCAGGTATGCGAGTTATGATACAGTTGGTAATTTTGTATTCTCTGTCTTCAATAAGAAGATTATTGAACAACTCAATATCTCGTTCAAAGATCACAACCTTCATTTGTGTTCCCTGGAAATTTCAATGTTAAGTAGTTGTTAATTATGTTGACATAATTAATATTTTATAAATTGTGTATGATATACCTGTGCGTCTTCAAAAATAAGTTGTTGTAAATTTGTCGTGCCTTCGCGAGATTTTTTTGCAGGGTGCTTCTTTATTAATGTGGCTATTGTAGTAAAATTTCGGCTTTGCTCTGTCAAATTGGCAAGAGGAAGTTGTTGAGCAGCCATTATGTCGTTGTGCAATCTAAATTGACCCTGCCATGCATCAATGTGATGTAAGTAAATATTACAAGCGATAAAATTATAATATCATGGTATAACGTAAGTGAAAGGAAGAAGGAAGATAAGTAAAATTATAATATTCCAGCATACCTTAAAATCTCATAACATACAACATTTTTAGTGTTTCTCATAACATAAGTAAAATTACAATATTCCAGTACGCCTTAAAATCTCATAATATACAACATTTCAATACTGTAAAATTATAACGTAAGTAAAAGGAAAGATAAGTAAAATTACAATATTCCAGCACGCCTTAAAATCTCATAATATACAACATTTTTACTCTTTCTTATAACAGAAGTAAAATCATAACGTAAGTAAAAGGAAAGATAAGTAAAATTACAATATTCCAGCACGTCTTAAAATCTCATAACATACAATATTTTTAGTCTTTCTCCATCCATGTGGTTCATCCGCAGAGGGCTTTATCAATATTTGAACATGTTTACCTTTTTTAGCGCGAGACAGTGCAACATATAATTGACCATGAGAAAAGACCGGTTGTGGTAAATATATGCCAACTCTATCAAGCGTTTGACCTTGAGACTTGTTAATAGTCATTGCAAAGCTTAGGTTGATTGGAAATTGTTTGCGAGTAAACCTAAAAGGGTACTTGTCCGTAGCTGATGGTTGTAATGGGATCCGAGGTATAAAAACACGTTGACCGCAGTGATGTGCCACAGTTATCTCAACATCAATAACATTGGGGAAAAAGGCTCTGCATACTAATCTGGTGTCGTTGCATAAGCCTGATGTTGGATCTAAGTTTCTAAGCAAAATTATTGGACTGCCTACCTTTAAAGTCAAATGATGAGGCGGAAGGCCGGATAGGGCTAGGCTATTAAGAAATTCAGATGGATATTATTCGGATGTACTATCTGTGCAGCTGTCGAAACTTTTGTACTCATAAGCTTTTCCTGGCTGTTTGTGCACTAAAAGAGAATTTATCTTTGTAGCATGTTCATTTTTCGGAGTTAAAATAGCTCTTTTTGTTGCAGTCGAAGAATCGAAAGTTGTCTTCGAAATATCAGGGTAGATGCTTTTTGCTAAGAGTTCCAGAGATGAATCTTCATTGTCATATGGTATGACTAAAGGTTTAGGAAGCTCTATATTTTCCCCATCTTTATAAGGGGGCACACCATTCCCAATTTGTAAGACAAGATTACTAAAAGTTGGGTCACTAATTGCTCGCATGTTTTGAGTTAGATGGATTTTCTGGAGTGCGTACCATAAAGGAGACATCACAAAACTCGTTGCAATAACCTCATTCAGACTTCCTTTAGGTATAACAGGTAGCACTTGTCAGAAGTCACCGCCAAAAACAACAACTTTTCCACCGAATTTCAATTTGTTTGAATAGACATCTTGTAGCAATATATCAAAGAACTCAATTGTTTGACGCAATTCCATTGGTGCCTCGTCCCATATAATAAGTTTTGCAAGACGAATAAGTTGTCCTAAAGCACTTTGTTTGGAAATACTTGGACTTGGAACCTCATCAACATCTAAAGGTATTTTGAATCGAGAATTTGCAGTTCTACCTCCAAACAGACCAGATGCAGCAATACCAGAGCTCGCAACTGCTAAAGCAATCATTCCTTTTGTTCTTACATTAGCGAGTAATGTAGAATATAAAAAAGTCTTTCCTGTACCACCAGGGCCATCAACAAAGAAAGCTGCCGGCTTATTATCAAGGACTGCATTGTAAATTATGTTGTAAGGAATTTTTTGTTCACTATTAAGTAAATTGACAGCATTTATTTCTTCGGGATGAATAGAAATCTGGAGCTCTTCTTCGATTTCTTTCATTCCTTTCGCTAAGTCATCTTCTTCAAGCTCCAGCAATCTAAAATTGTAGGTGTCGAAAGACTTTCCCATTGACTCAACAAGGTAACAAATGCTTTTTATAGTTAATTTGCGAGGCCTTTTTTTTGTTCGAAGGGAAGTTATGGTTATAATCTTCAGAAAGATATGGATAAAATTTTTCCCACAGGCAGTTTGGATCATCGGGATTGCAGTATACCAACAATGTAGCAAATAGTTGTCGTAAGGCAAAAGGCATTTGACTTTGGGAAGCTTCTTGTAGGCACTTATCTATAGAATCGTCTGCTTCGAGTAGACCTCGTTGAAATGCTGCTTCTCGGAATGAAGAATATCTTACTTTGTTGAAGGTCAGAAAATGATCAAAAGAGGTTGGACCACGAACATTTGTGAGCAGTAACCGCAAGTAAAAACGTTCACCTTCTGTTGGATTTGCATGTACAACACGTCCGATCGCAGTATTTGTCGTTTGACGGCGTCGCCAAATTTTTTCACTTTTTTTGCCACGCCATGTGTAATGTTGAGGAAATTCTTGGTACAGTAATGTGCGAGCAAAGCTATCAACTTGATTCATCTCAAAAAAAGCAGTTAGCATAGTTCGTTGTCTGCATGAGTCAAATGCAACAGTCTGTAACCTTTCTTGTGAATGGAATGTCACAGTTTGCATATTTGGCAAATGTACTTGCAGAGAAACAACGTTTGGATGTATACCATTCGGCGGAAATCTGAAAATTTGCCAAGAAGCTTCTGGGGGCGATATCCATCGCGCTGTCTGAAAGGAAGAGATTTCATCTCCTATGCTTATGTTGTCGGGATTAGATAAAGCAAAGACAACCCGATCGTGACCTTTGTATATATACTTATACAGATATTTAACTGCCTTTATTGTAGAGCACACTTCTACATTTATATGGCAGTCATATTTTGCTAGTAAATACGGATTATATGGTATTACCCACCTATTATCAAGTCGTACTCTGCGTACCAAATATTTTTTTCCATCATTATGACGTCGGTATATAGGGTATGAATTATGACCTGTCGATGTCGTTTCAGAAAAGCTTCGAGGGTAATGGTTTTTACACTTTCCATCTCGCATGCATACATTTCCCAGATTATCATTTCCACAGGGGCCATGCATCATATGCTTAAAAACAGCTTCGTAAAGATGAGCGTTAGTCTTTTGTTCGGGTACCTCTGCACAGACATGCTCATCGTATTGGTCTGAAGTTCTAATCTTAGATGCTGAATCTAAAATGATGAGAAAGTGTACATGTGGTAATCCTCTTTTTTGAAATTTAATTATGTAAACATATGCTGCAACCTCGCCAAATAGTTTCTTTTAAACAATATCTTTTTTCAGTTCTGCTAATTTTGCGTGGAAAACTCTTGCTATTAGATCAGGTCTGTTTTGCACTTCCTCGTGAGGTAGCAGTTCATTTGTAATTTCAGGCCATGAAGGGTTGCAGGTCATGGTCAAGAAAATATCAGGTTTTCCGTAGTGCTGAACTAAAGACATTGCATCAAGGTATCTGCGCCTCATATCTCGTAGACCACCAATAAACGAAGGAGGGAGAATGAATCCATGCCTAATATTTAATCCATGTGATACGCCAGTGTTTAAGCTGTCGAGAATACCTTGGTAAAGTTCAGCTCTAATTGTGTCTTGGTTTTGACGAATAAAATCCAAACGCGAAGTTTCAATTTTGATGTACATATCAACAATATACTATTGTAATAAGCGCCCACATCGCAGAGGAAAGGAATTATCTCGTATACGAATCTGTAATCGGTAGCAATAATATTCTCTACAGGAAACTTTTTTTTTCAGACGTTGATGAGTGAATTCCTATATAAAAAATAAAAGATAAAAAATAAGTGGTGTTTTTTTATTGATTAAAATGAAATTTTTCTCGAATAAATTATTTAATAGCCAAACCTTGTTCTTCAGCTTCTAGAAGATCATCAACAGTTTTGACAAGAACTTCATTTATCGGAAATGTGTGACATTCCTGTCTTCTTAGATATTTTGTTTTATATCTATATATCTGTCTATGCCAACCAATTTGGCCGTAGGGAAATAAAATCGGATATTGTAATGGATCATAGCATCCGTAGTAATGCAGTATACTATGGTGTGCACCTGAATGTGCACGAACCACAATATCGCGTTGCAGCGGAGCAGACGTACCTGCATCTTCCAACCAAATTGCTGCCACTTGGGAAGAAGTAGGTGCATTGTGAGTACGTTGGTCTTGATCTGGATCAGATCGGATTATAATGTGACTTGTGTCAGCCATATTAACATCTTTAAGTGACCGGAAAAATTGAACATACGAATTTAGCTCCATTAAGTGCACTAATTGGCCGATCACACGTGGATCAAGATCCGTAAAAATTGATACATGATGTCGGTACTCAACATCTGTGTCATAGAAATATAGCTGCAAATATCGCGGTTGTTCATCATTTCGACGTATATCATTTATGTTATGATATACTTGCCCTTGGACTCTAAATGTGTAAATACCATGATGTCTTCGCGCTAATTCTTTATCCTTCTTCACACCCAAAGATGTAAACGCAAACATATTGTTGTACAAAATAATATATTTACGAAAACTCTCAGAGCTGTTGTCCAATGACAGAAATAGGTTACGCAAACTATCTGGCATATGGTTAGGAGCAAGTTGAATCTCTCCTTGGTTGCAACATAGGTTAATTGATTCGTCCTTAAATAGCTTTGCTCCACAATACTCACAAAGCGTAGGCACAGGTAGAACGTATGCATATTTTGGAGGTCTTTTCATGTTGTTTGTTCTGATTGTATTTGACATATTCAGTATTTTAAAATAATAGGAAAACAAATTAAACAAAAGCAATGCATAAGAATATATGTAAAAAATTAAAATAGAAAAAACAGACACTTTATTTTGATCACTCCAAAAAGAAATGCAGGCATATAATAAAGGGACGGAGAGAATATAATTTTGAGTGCAAAGCAAAGCTTTTTCTTTCTAAGATTTTATATGATCGAGGGTCCCTTACATACATTATATTGTACTTCTAATGTTTCATGATTAATTTATAGAATAAGCTCAAGATAAGCACTTATCTAGGAATATTTGAGGTGCACTTGTATAACTATTATTTTTTAAAACTTTATCAAAGGTGCTTTAGGAAAATGATTTTACTGGAATTGTCTGAATATTCCGTATTAATTTAAACAGATTGAGGGATTATTGTGGTCATTGGATGTTGTCATCTTCGGCTTGTTTGACGGTGGTGTGGAAGTAGATTACAAGTTATGCCTTCAATTCGCAGTCTCCTATTTTAATTCAGAAACTTATGCTCCATATACGAGTAATTATTATTTGTATATGACCAAATTAGATGCTTTTGCACATTATTTATGTGACTCATGTTGGGTATTAAATTATTTATTGCCTTTTCTTTATTTGTCCGAAAAAAAAGCAAAGGATCCCAATGGAGTTTTGTCTTTCGCTATTATTGTATCCTAGAAAACGACACACTTTAAAAAAGAAATGTTGATATAAGATACTCCTTCCGTTTTTAAGTACTTGCTCCATTTTAATTTTTTGCACTATTCATTTGTCCTACTGTGACTTATATTTGTGATTTATACATAAGAAAAAATATAGTCTCGTGGGTACTTGTTGGAATCATCTCAATGAATAGATTATTAATTTTCAATTGTTAGAATTTATACGTATTGATAATTAAAGAAATTAGTGATGAAAGATTAGCATCGACATGCATGTTCAAGAGAAATGAAGCAAGTATTTAAAAACAGAGGGAGTATAAAATTGAAAATATGTGAACTAATAAGTTTGTAAGTATATTTTTTTTGGTAATGTAATACGGTTAGCTATTTTATAAAATCTATAGTTCTCTGCTTGAACTTTTCATATAAGTTGTCACTTTATTACTCCCCCTAGATTTAATTATATAAAATTTGAAAACTCGTTGTAAATGCTGCAACATGTGTCATCCGTTTTCTTTTATTTTTTTTTATAGGTTATAGGTTTATAGATATTTGTACAAGTATTTTTCGTAATTGCATGGTTTTATTTTTTTTTTTAAAAACAAAAAATGCACGAACTACGACGTAATAAGTTCACTAAAGGTGACATTGTCAGAAAAAATAAAGTAAATACTCCATCCGTTCCATAATTACGGACAAATATACTATTTTGGGTGTTCTAAAATGTTCCTCCTATTACTAAAAATAACACCCAATCATTACTTACTTTTTACCTTTTCCATACAAATTACACACATACCAAAAAAATCATTACTTACTTTTTCACTTTTTCATACAAAATACACACATACCTAAAAAATCATTACCCACTTTTTAACTTTTCCATATAATATTTTCTACTTTTTATCAACATTCTTCACTTTTTAGCTTTTCCATTTAATATTCCTCTACTTTTTTCATCCTCCTTAAAAACCGTACTTTTTAGAATTATTTGCCTGTAATTATGGAACGGAGGGAGTACTACCTAACCTGTATTTCCCTAAGTCACGTGAATCCAACTAAATGAAAAGTGAATTAAGTTTTTTTAAAAAATAATGTATTCAGGCATTTTCTCTCTCCTTACAAAAATTAAGTAACCACCCCATCGAGAGACGCATACTGTCAGCTAACAACTTTAATCTACTCCTTCCTATTTTTTTTATTGTTTTGTTAACTTAAGCACCTATTTTCTCTTCTATAAATACTTTTTTTTTAAAAAAACAAGAAGTCTTTCATTTAGAAAAACCCATAGCCTTTTCAAAACTATGCAAACCATCATACTTATAAAAGTACTACTTCTGTATAAAAATGTCCACTCCCAAAAATATATCCATATTTTAAGTACTATTTCGGAAAGTAGTAGTAGTACATTGGATAGGTTATTACTGTTAGGAGTAAGTTTTAATTTGAATTTTTTTTTTTTAACTTGATTTCTATTTTTCATAAGCCATGTGTTTTTTAAGTAATTTTGTAGAATCGTGGACTTAGAGAAACTCAACGGTGATTAATTATA